GACTATATTCTTTAGTAGGCTGTGGCTCCTCTGAGCCCTCAGATAGATCTATGCTTACAGGCTGGCCCTCACCAGGCCCGCCTCTGTAGCTGGCCTAGGCTGTGCCAGGGATATTAGAGGCGTTCTGTTAAAATTAGCATGTCTTCCTCTGACCCTTCACTTTGTGAATGTAGGTTTTTGGCATCGCTGTATAATCAGCCTCCTCCCATGGGAGTCGTTAGGCCAAGGCCCGCCCCCTTCTCTGCATTCTGGGGTGACTAGAGTAATGCAGCGTGGTGCAGAGGATGGTTTATAAGGACATGGTAGGCCTCAGTTAGGCCTCTGTGGTATTTAAGTCCTTTTGAGCAGGGTTAGGCCGTCTTTCGCTTCACGAAGAAGACTGAGTCTCCTGCCCGACCCTGCCGTGCAGAACTGGCCTACGGATTTAGGCCGCCAGTATGGGCTTCACTTACCTCGCTGAGCTACTGCTCGAGCGCCGGGTTGTAGGTGGTTGGCTTTCATTCAAGTCCCACTCCCCTAGGTTGGGCACAGATACATTTCTGTCAACCCTAGAGCCGCTGGCAGGCCCGCCCCCTGGTAACCTCAGGGTGAGGTGTGAGTATTCCCCTGTGATTCAGGGTAGGTCTGAGTACTTCACTCCCAGTTCTGTTTATCCTACCTCGCACCACTATGGCTCGGGTCGAGTATGAAGTAAGCCTTCACTTCTTCTTTGGTCGAAGTACGCTCCCCCGTAGCCAGAGCATTGCCCTGAGCTGACGCCCATGCATAGATGGTAGGCCCCTGACTAACTGGGGCCTCCGTTGAGGCAGAGTGGCGTATGTTGTACTCCCCTTGTTTTTAAGGGTGCTAAGCTCTCTTGCTGAGTACACTGCCGTGGGCAATGTGACTAGGCACCAGGATACTGTAGGCGCTGTGTAAACAGCTTCTGCCAACGAAGGCTGCGCCATCAGGTAGTAGGCCTCAGCAGGCCTCCTTGTATGGGCAGCCCCCAATAGGGCGCTGTAGGCCACTTCTCGAGAGAAATGGTTGGCCTTGGTGGTTCGGGCAGTTGGCTCACCGGTGGGTAGTAGGCCTTAAACAGGCCTCCTCGGAGGTGAGTCCCAACATTGTGGGACATATTTTATAGCCGCCACAGGTAGCTAGCCGTACTAGGCCTCCTGTGGGTGGGCCCAATAGTTACGTTGGTGTAGTATGGTTCCCAACAGTGTTCCTTTGTAGCAGAATTGACTTGCTATCAGCTAGTAGGCCCAACCAGCCCTCCCTGATAGGCAAGTCCCCAGCTGGCTGGCCTTAGCAGGCCGCCTTGGAACTGTCACCCGGACTCAGCTACCAGTTGCTATCAGGTAGTAGGCCACTCAGGTCTCCCTGAAGGTGAATTCCCACTTAAGATGGTTATCAGGTAGTAGGCCTCACCCGGCCTCCTTGAAGGCAAATCCCCACCTACATTGGCTATCAGGTAGTAGGCCTCACCAGGCCTCCCTGGAGACAAGCCCAAGGACAGACAACTGGACAGCTAGCCTGACTTTCTATCGGGTAGCAGAAAAAGCTCCCAGATATTATGGCTGTCAGGTAGTAGGCCTCACCAGGCCTCCCTGAGGGTGAGTTCCCCACGTACTATCGTTATCAGGTAGTAGGCCTCTCTAGGCCTCCCTGTAGGTGACCACATACTGTTGCTATCAGGTAGTAGGCCTCACCAGGCCTCCTTGTGAGTGGTTCCCTAGCGGTGCTGGGTTCAGGAAGCTAGTGGCCTCTTGCTATCATTTCAGCTGGCCTTATCAGGCAGCTGCTGAAGGCGAGCTTGCACCCTGGCTCGACTAAAGTGTTCATTCTCTGCTACTGGTTCCCTCTCGGAACCTCTTTCCTGCCTACAGCCTGGTTTTGCCTATCAGGGGGACCATATGCTCCCCTCATTGAGAGTCACTGTGAGCACGCGGACTCCTGAGTCTGGTCAGACGGTCGTAGGCCTCTTGCGAGGCCTCCCAGTTAGATCAGTCCTTAGGCCTTCACAGGCCTCCTCAGTGTTTTGAAACACAGACACTGGGTTGATCCGTGGATCGAGTAGAGAAACTCCCCTCGCTAGCAAGGGTTGGAAAGCACTATGCTGAGTCATATTCTCCGGGATATCCCGCTTCTGAGATCCGAGCCGAGCGGTTCACTGCCAGCTTTGCAGTCCCTCGGGTTGGATGCCTTACCTAAGGCAAGTGTCCAGAGGCTCTGGCCAGACTAAGTGTCTATGCTCTGACGCCAGGTCAGGCCGTCCTGGTGGGATTTCGGGGTAAGTACGTCCCCCTAAATAGTGATTGGCTGGGGTTCCTTCGGGTTCCCTAGCCACATTCCCTAGAAGGGACCCCTTCTAATTGAAGTTGTGGTCCTAGGCCTTTGAGCAGGCCCAGGTAGCCCTTTCATTTAACTATGTTTATGGAGGTTTTCCTGTGAGGCTTATAGCTTGGGCTATGACCGTAGGGAATGATGTCACTGACAGATGTGTGACCTGAGGGTGAGTGGTTCTAGCATTTCATTTGAATTTGCTGGTTTGGACAGTTGTCACTGCCTGAGGGCATGCACTCCCCTCAGCATGGCGGAGTGGGTATTTCGTTCCCCATAGCGTCGATGACGTATTGTTGAGTTCCCTTCGAAAGGGAACGTCTCAGGTTACGACTGTAACCTCTGTTCCCTGAGAACAGGGAACGAGACAATACGTCTCCCTGCCATGCCTCGGGGCTTGCCTACCGTACAGTCCCTTCAGACGATAAGGTGATTTGTCATGTTTGCAAGGCGCCCTTATATACTTCCAGGTCGCACGTTAATCATTCACGTTAATGATTCACGGGCTGTCGCCGGTCAATGTGATTGACGTGATTTGAAAGTGATTTCAGACACCTGTCACGCCTGAGGCGTTCCCCCCATAACGTCGATGACGTATTGTCTCGTTCCCTGTTCTCAGGGAACAGAGGTTACAGTCGTAATCTGAGACGTTTTATCCTCTTTGTCGTCATAGTTCCCCACTTTGAAAAACGAGTCGTTTGCTGAGCCTGGTGTCAATAAAAGCTTTTATTGGACTAACAAGGACGTTTTCAGTTCTGAAACTTACAGGATATTCTTATAATATGATGACCTCTTAGATGTCAAAAGCTCAAGGAAAATTTGATTTTTCAGTTCATCACCCCTTTAAAGGTGCAGAATGTAATATTGACAGCTAGTGGTTGAAATGAGTACTGCAGTCCAAATTCAAAACATTGGATAGGGTTGTTTCTCCCGCCCCCTTCTCGATGCTCACACTCGTTGCCAGTTTGAGAATATGCAACAAGAACAAGCGCAAAAATGGAAGGCGACGAGCCGTACACTGTGATTTTGGCCGCGATTTGGCCGTCTGAGACAAATTTAGCAAATCAGAAAAGAATCCTCTGATCCTAGGCTAAAATCTGAAGTCTTTGAACGTTAGTTTGACATGTTCACCGACAGCCGATTAATGACCGTTGCGATAAAATTTGATCTCCGACGAAATTCTGGCAGTGTCAGAAGATTTGACTCACAGTCCTGCAGTGTGGCTTCTCCTAAGACGACCGTCAAACTGTCTTCGTTTTTCAAGACAAGCCGTGACCAAAATTAACATTACAGATTTCTTTGTAGCCACCATTACTATCCCGCGTGTAACACAGCTCACATCACCGAACATGTTATTGATTGATGATTGATTGAACTCCGGACAAGTTTTCTTGCGTGCATCCGTTTTTAACGCATCTTGATTTCTGAATGAAAGGGCCCTTCACAATAGATGATGCTTTACAATGAACTCTTAGAGAATTACAGATGGCAATTTATCTGTTAAATAAAATACCTTACTCACCTGTTGAGTGATAAAAACGCCATCTCCACGTTGCTTTTACAATATTTAAAGTTTCCACCAGTTTGACCCCTTCAGGTTGATTCGCTGTTGTGAATACGGATGTCGATTTACATAAATTCCCATAATCGATCATTGTTTAAATAACGATCAATTAATCGATAAATGACTACCACAAAATAGGCGTTGCTTTAAACCTTAGAAGCAGGGCTTTGCGGTGAATATGGGAACATGACCATCACTTAACAAGTGCTTTTAAGTTTGCTGACATTAGAAGTGCTCTATTTTCATAACGTGAAAAAAATAACTGCATTACATGAAAAAGTGATCTGTAAATTTATCGTACATAACAGATGACTTGTGCCACATATCGGTGAAAGGTCTCAACTAGCAGAATATAACGGTATAGTTTGGTCTCTAACTGAAACAAATATGCCTAAGTATTTGTATTAAAAAGTGTCGCAGATGCACATGTAAACAGTATGTATACACAATTTGTGCCACGTTTTTGTTTGTAACTTCGCAAAACATTAGTAAACATAGTAGATCGCATACCGTTACTTAGAGTCTCAAACAAGCCTAAACACAAGATAAGACAATGCGTAGAACACAGAGTGACATGACATGCTACTGACACGCTGGAGGTATGCTCCAATCGGACACTGTTTTACAGCTGGAGTGCGCTTGGATTGGTTTGATTGCTCAGTTTGACAGGTCTTATTACCTACAATTATTCAACCTTTTATTTATCGTTAGCATCCCTAGTTGTGAACATAATGGGTGGGCATCACTGCTCGTTTAGGCTAATGTCTCCTCTAAGGTGACTTTTCACCTGTATTTCACTATTGAATGCCAAAACACAATTTTAAGATGTAGTTTGTCCAAGATCTAATGTTCTGTCTTAAAAATACTTAAAAGTATGTACTTTCCCATCTCTAGTGATTAGAAGTATGCAAATTTGGATGCAGCCATGAGCTGACAAGGATGACTTGATTCAATTTTGCCTATTCGAGGACACAAACATATGCTCTCTGCAAACATCTGGTTCAATCAGTGTTGGCAGTGACAAAGAGCATCTTGTCTCCTTGAAATCCTCCTGTGCACACTTATGAAAAACATATTCAGGGTTGTAAGTCCCAAAAAATATTTAACTTACATGGTCTCATCATTGAGGAACTCCAGTTTGCCAGCCACCTCTTCATAGTCTTCTCCAGCTTTGGCGGTACCCTCTGTAGTGTGGAACGGTACTGCCACCTTCCCCCTCGCTCCAGATGTTCTGTGCACCTTCACCTGCATGATGCCCACGCTTTCACTCACTCGTGTGGCATTGTTCTCGAACGTAAAGATACCCGCGTGGTCATCATCGTAAATGGTCACCGTGCCAGTGTGCGCATTACCCAAGGCAGCTTTGGGAGGAACGTGGCTGGACCCTGTAATGCTGTTGCCTGGAGACACCGCATTAGGGTCAAGGATGGAGACCTCGGCACGGTGGACTACTCGAGGGTTGCTGAGATGTACGTAGAAATGCTCATCTTCCTCGAATATGTCATCGTCAATCACGCCGACTGTCAGCTCCTTCACCGTCTCACCCGGTTTAAAGACCAGAGTGCCCTCAGCGAATTCATAGTCTGATCCTGCGTTAGCAGTGCCATCCTCTGTGCGATAGTCAACCTAGATACAGGACCAGTTGTCATACAGCTATATATTTTTTTATATTCAGAAGAGTGACAATATACAGTGAGTAATAATAATTCTCATACATACAGTGTTAAAATGTAGATTTTAAGAGAGGATGTGTGGTAAATAAATTCCACAAATAACAACAAAAAAGGTTTTAAGCCAGTTATTTATATCTTTAGCTGTAGTGTATCAGTAGGAAATATCAGTTAACATTCCTTTTGCCATTAATTGTAATAATCCAGTGAGTCTTATTATTAATCATATCACATAATAATAACAACATGATATACATTTTTATCATTATGTTGTGTGTTATATTTAATAATAATAATAATAAATGTTGTTATTATTAGTCAAATAAAATAACATAATTATTTTTTATTTATAATTATTATGTGTTGTTAATACTAATATTATAGTATATTTTGACCTCTTATCAAAATCACATAAAATAATTGAATATAACTTGAACTTCACAATTGAAAGGTTAATATAATAAAATGAGCTAATCTGAAGTCTGTTAATATAGTGTCATTAAATTGCTTGTCTCCTAAGTGCTGTAATTATTTAAAATAGCTCTGAGAGTACATCCTCGCTGCTGGGACTCGTGTAGGTTTCTGGCCTCAAAATTATATCACATCCATATAATTAAAGTACAATAACAGCAATATAATCACAGTACTGTTGTGTATAGACAGTGGAATCATTACCTTAACAGTGCAGCCACTGTCTCCACCATGTCGGGTCACGGAGAGCTTTAAGGAGCCGCAGTTCTCAAAGCATTGATAATGGGAGGGCTCAAACTCCAGGTAGATGGTGTGAGGGTCCTCTTCCTGGGGATTAGCCTCATGGCAGCTCACCACCTTCCTGGCCTGGTCTGCAGCATGCTTCTTCAGAATGTTCCCTGCTCCGATCATCATGCGAGTGGCCTGGATGCGATAGAAAGCTCGACTCTTCTGCTGTTGCACCAGCACTTGGTAGTTTGCCATCTCGATCAGCTGCTCCATGTCCTTCTCCGGGTGTCTCTGCTTGAGATCCTTCAACGTACGAGCCATCTCCCTCCTGGCCTCCTCTTCCTCCCCTCCACCACCTCCTTCCTCCACACCAGCCAGCATGCCATCAAGTGACTCCTTGTGGTGGGAATTGGCACCTTGACCGTCCATCTCCATATCCATCTTGCTGAACATGCCGTCACCCTCCGTCTCAATGATGATGCCGCGGTTCTTGTCAGCGCGGTAGCGCTTGTGGACGTATTTGTAAAAGAGCAAGCGACGGTCTGCGATCCAGGCTTGAAGCACACAGATCGGAAAGAAGAGAAACGTAAGGACGGCCTCCCAGACTTCCACCACACCAGGAGAGAAGACAGACAGGATCAAGTACAGCCAAATGTAGGCGAAAATGCTCCAGGCTGCCGTCACAAAGAAGACCCTCAAGTGCTTGATTTTTCGCACCTCACCGTCTGGGACCACGTAAACACAGATAGCGATGATGATAAACATGTTGAAGGCAGCGCTGCCCACAATTGTGCTCGGGCCCAGGTTACCAGCCTCAAACTTGTGTCCGCAGACCTCAATCACGGATAACAGGATCTCAGGTGCCGACGATCCCAAAGCCATGAGGGTCAGGTTGGACACGGTCTCGTTCCAGATGCGCACGGTTGCTGTGGTGGTCTCACCGTTGGGTTTCTTGATTGTTATCTCTTTCTCTTGAGATGTAATCACCTCGATGGATGACATGAACCGGTCTGCGATGATGGACATGCCTAAGAACATGTAGATGAGGGCCACAAAGTAGACAATGGCACGTGCCACCTTGTCGCCCACTGAGGGGTTCTGGGGGTTCCACACCGGCAGGACGACGCCCTCAGAGCAGCTGTCCTCCCCTGAACAGTTTCCTGTGCTGCTGTGGGATGTGTCGCCACTGGCCTGAGAGAGATGAGTGAGGCCCGAGAGGAAGATCAGGAGGAGGAGAGAGAAAAGGCAAGGAGTTGACGGAAGGCGCAAATGAAGCATGGTGGAAGTGTAGTGGTAACTGTCTCCACCAGTCACAGAGTTGACGATCAATAAACCTCTGAAACACACAAAAGAAACAGAATATTCACTTTCGGTGAGAATGATCATTTAAAAAAGGACATGTTAAGTGTATCTAAATGTGACATATTAATAAAAGTTTTAATGATTCAAGCAACTCCTGAAACACAGATATAGTTCAGGGTCATGCAGGGAGAATGAGGTTTGCTGTTTGTTGCAAACAGGGTTTCTGACAGCACAAGACAGCTTGCGTCATGGTGAACTCTTAGAGAGTGTACATCTGCACAAGCTAGCCAACTCTATAAACAATATGATAATTCCTGACAAACTGTACACATCTGTTTTGGATGTGTTTTGCAAAGCATTTTCTTGATTTTTACAAGAAAGGAAAACATTACAAAAACACAACAATACCTCATTTAATGTAGAAATCAGACCTAATCCATTTTGCTCACACAGTCTTTAAGTTTAGTAGATGAGTCACATGTGAATAATGTGTGAATAATCAGTTTCCAAGTTAAATATAAAATAAATGTTGTTGGCCTGCTATATCAAATAATTCACAATGGTATTTTTAATTAACGTTTTGATTTTTTTCCGATTTAAATCTGGTCTGCTTTTACTATTTTCTGCTTTCTCGCATGTGCTCTTTCTCTCATGCAATGATCAAGGCCACCACTTCAATGATCATATATAGACCTTCCACAAATTAAGACATATACAAGCAAAAAACTGTTTGACTGCTTTATTGACAAAAAGGCATTTGATGGCGGCCATGCGCGTTGAGTGCGTGAGATCCCATTTCGTGTGGCGGTGTGCACAGCATTTTTGTAACTTTGCGCTTTTAACTTTTAAAATTGTTGTTTTATACACATGTTCTTATATCCATATATTGTCAGGGTTCTGTCACTTCTGTCTAGTTTATTCTTAGTTTTGTGACAGAGCCCTGACACTACTGTCTTGTCTCGTCTTCTGTCCATGTGAATTGTCTTGTGTGCGGGGCATGGTGTTCGGATCCCGGCACTTCTGTCTAGTTTGGTTTCGGTTCTGTGTCGGGATTCGGACATTCATGCTCCGTGTGTTTTGTCTTTTGTTGTGAGCGCAGGAGAACAAGCATGAATGTCCAAATCCCGACGAACCGAAACCAAACTAGACAGAAGCGCTGGGATCCGAACACCATGCCCCGTCTTGGTGTGTGAGTGTGCGATTTCGAGTTAACTTGAAGTTAACTTCAAGTACGCTCTTCTGTCCATGTGTGTTTTGTGTAGCATGCGGTTTATGTTTACATTCATTTTATTAATGGGCGCCTTTCAAGATACTCAATGACACCATACAAACAATAAAACACATGAACAATGAATATAAACATGAATTTTTTTTATTATATAAAACACACAAAGGCTATGTCAATCAGAATAAGCTAATCTAAAAAAAAATGATTTTAAAGACATGATTTAAAAATAGAAAGACTAGAACCATTTCGTATGTCTTGAGGTAAGGTGTTCCACAGACTCGGAGCAGTACAAATAAAAGCTCTTCATCCCATGGTGGTCAAACCTACAGATGGTATAACTAGAGTCGTAGTAGAAGAAGACCTAAGAGTGATGTAGGTGAATAGGTGGGTGAATAAAGTAGTTCACACAAATATGAAGGTGCTATATTATGGAAAGCCTTATAAGTGAAAAGTAAAATTTGCATTGAATGAATGCAATATGTTTTGTTTGAGCACATGGCTTGTGATTGTTTTCACTGGCCATGTGCTTGTGTTTTAGTCATGTTTGGTGTGAGCACATGGCTTGTCATTTATGTAATTTATGGCTTGCCATGTGCTCTCATGTCTATTGTCTAACCCAGCCCATCTTGTTACCTGATTATTAATTAATTTGCCCCACCTGTCCTCCCTCGTTACCTGCCTTGTTTGCTCCCTATTTATTCTCCTTGTGTTTACAGTCCTGTGCCAATCGTGTTCATATGTACACCATCTATGGTCCAGTCCAGTCCAGTCTAGTCCAGTCCAGTCCAGTCCAGTCCAGTCCAGTCCAGTCCAGTCCAGTCCAGTCCAGTCCAGTCCAGTCCAGTCCAGTCCAGTCCTCCCCCTCGGGGTAGTTTATGTTTTGTTTTATTTTATTATCACTAAAAAGCCCATCACTTCTCCATGTTGAGTCCTCGCTTCACCCCTTCACCCTACCCTGACATATATTTGTCTAATGTCACAAAGACATATCTAATGTCACAAAGAATAATCTCAAGATTAACACATTTCTGATTTGGTTCTAATTGGTAGTGTGGGTTTGGAGAAGTGTAATAAAAACAAACATTGTCACGTGTGTACATTACTTCTTACAGCTGCTTCCTGATGGTTTAGAGGACAATTACTCCGAGTTGCCCCCTATCGTTTCAAAGAATAGTACAACTGTGAGCACGTCAAGTATAAACGCCTCGCGCCTTTGGGGAGGAGACCGCACAGTCAGCAGAGGTTCGTGGTGTGGAGCAGGCAAAAGTACCAACAAGGCTTAAGTCACACATTCGTATCTCTGGCTGCTTGGAGATATATGAGATCATCTTCCGCTAAGACGATGTGTGATGATGCCTGGGTTGTCACGCAAAGTCTAGGTCACATCCAGGTCATTAATGTGACATAGGATAATCTTTGTTAGCTTATATGTGAGAAAGGTCAGACCCCACATTGCTCCTTTGAAAATGCAGATATGCACATGATGCAGACATGCATGGCTCAAACTAGGGCTGTCTATTTAACATAAGTTAATTTAGTGAAAGATAAAAAAAAAAAACGGAATTAATCATGCCCCCTGACATGTGCATAAATTACAAATATATTGAAATAGAAAAGAATTATTTTAAATTGTAATATTTCGCAATCCTTTTTGACTTCTTTCAAAAACATTATAAAATCTTAACAACCTCAAACCTTTGAACGCCAGTGTAAAATTTTATGGCACAAATATATTCAAAATGCACATATAATATACACAAAAGGTGTTTACATTTCTAAAGCTATGCATATCTAAATACACTTCATGTGCTGCCAATACATCCATATTTTATGTTCAGAGCATATCCAAACATACAAAAATATAAACATTTAATTCAAATACCTATGAATACAAATGAGATAAAGCTGTAAAAACAGTTTAAAACAAATTAAAACACAGCAACCAAAGATGTCCATTTAGAGCATGTTTACTTACCAACAACCTAAGACTTATGGAAATAAGACAAAAAATATAATATTTAAGATAAATACATAATAAGAGAGTTCTAAAGCCACTATATGCAATTTCCGTTTAATGCATTCCTCTACCACAATATTGTAACATAATTTATTTATCTTCATTTAAGACCTTTCTTAACAAATATTGCTATATGTGATTAACTAAGATTTATTCATTGCCATATGACACATTCAACTGACATTTTTAATCATTTGACAGCCCTGACACTGACACTCAAACATTATATGGCACGTCTCAGCACTGCCTTAACGCTTTGATGACATTAGCGTGTTCACCAACCCTACTCCTTATGCACTTCCCTGGGCACAAATCATGCACTTGGCATCAAGCACGCTCCCCACTATTGCCACACACGATGCCAGGCCTATAAATAGCACTGAGGCTGTTTCCTGAGTCCTTAGCATGAGCTCTCAGCCAACGGTGCCTATCAAGAGTGAGGGCTTATCTCGCACACCATTTGGACTGTATCTTATTAATTTCCCATGAGAGAGCATACAAGCAAGCAAATGTGAGAGGCAGAACAGAACAGAGCACTGTATGGCAGTGTATACCATCCTGCAGGCAGAGTGTTCGAGGGATCTACAATTGATGGACAAATCAATCAAGAGGCTGATTGCATTAATTGGCATATGCGGAGCATCCACACCACAGCAGCATGGCTAGTGCGGGCCGCAAGGCAAAAGGAGCAGTGAGCAGCACTACAAAGCCCTCAGTTATATGAGCAACCCTGAGGATAAGGAACACATAACCCAGTATGAGCTACTGTTGACAGCCTAGAGGATTCATGCACACTCAGAGGAAAAGAGCACACATGGATTACGATACCATGATAATGTATGGTTTCTGATGCCTCAAAATATTGCCTCATTTAATAAGGTTTCCGGTTTTAAAGTATGCTTTGTTTTAGGTGCTGGTCCCCAAACCGACTGAGTGTGTAGCCCAGTCTTATCTAAAAATGCAGTGTTTAGCTCTCTGGCTTTTATGATCTGCTGTGCGCAGTCTACTGGGGATTCATTCCACCTGTGAATCTAGCTGTGGCCAATTCCCATAATAACAAGACAGCTCTCCATATGTCTGCCCTGACACTCTATCTGCACACGCACTATGAACACACTATGTCACACTTGTGGGAAGTTATAAATGATTAAAAAAGCTCATCGGGGTCTTTCAGCTTATGGTTTATCAATATGACATGTGCAAGACTACTGTACTGAATGTCAACACTGCTGGGATTCAGCTACAGGTAATCACTGATGTTTTGACCACTTATACGATAGCAAGTGTGATAATGCTTTTTATACAACAATTCAATAAACAAGAAGTTCATATTGTGTAACTGACATTTCAGACACAATATTTGTAGTTACATTGTCTATATTTGGTCAGCCAAGGAAAATCATTCAAAACAGCAGAAACAACTGACATGTCTCTGGGAAACACACGGTAGTGGAGTAGAACAAGTTGATTATGTAAATGATACAATGACTCAATTATAACAACAGCCACATTATCAGTCCCTAAATGAATCAGTGTTTGAACAAATCAGTTGTGTAAATGATTCTGTGACTTACTTAGTGAATCAGTAGGTTTGGACAAAAGACTCTCTTTATGACTAAGGGTGTGTTCACACTTGTAGATCGGTTTGCTTGGTTCGTTTGGTCTGGACCAAAAAAAAAACATTTAGTCCTGGTCCGCTTAGTGTACAGATTGGCATTTTTATCACCGAACTAAAAGATACCAAACCTAAAGTCATAGGGATATGTTCACAACCTGATTGGTCGGCTTT